CTCTGAAATTTGCTAGAACTGTTCGAGGGCATCACAAAAGGAGAAAGCAATTAATAAATGCATCATCGAACATTACAGGATTTCATCTTCAAATCATTTTATAACAGTAGTATCTGAATTCAATTTCGCCCAAGGAACACTTTGAAATTGAATTTTATTTCAGTTAATGCATTACAGAGGAAGTTAACAGTCATTTTTTTTTAAACCGGCAAGAATGAGCTGATGCACTATGTGCAGATAAAATCCAAAGTCGTAAACTGTTACATGAAGAGTTGAATTTGCAAAAGGCACATCATGGCAATCTTTCTGTTCAGTACACTGCAGGTGTGACAACAAAGAACGTCAATATTTATTGCAAAAGGATTTCCTTTAGCACGTAAATAACTCTTTGAAGCCCAATGAAGCTACTCGTAGTAATTGTTTTACACGAGGAAGGACGAGACTCAACAAATAGGCAGTTGCTATGAAAGCAAAGAAACCAAACTAGCAATCTTCCTAACAACCAAGAGCACAATTTGCACATTAGATTGCTGAGGTTTTATACTTCAATTCTGAAAATCTACAGAGTGCTGATTCTCATGTACCATTTGAGGGAGAAAGATTTAGACTAAATGCCCGGAGCTGAAAGTAATCGATTTAAACCGCCATTATAGACAAATCAAAGCGGTTCATTCATGATAGACTAGGGGGCACAAAAAGATTACAAGAAGATAAATTAAACTATCAGGGCGATAAGTAGGTGGTCGTGATGGTTTACGAGGCACACATGTAGATATACCGTGCAATTACGTAGAATATTGCAAGCTATCTTTAAAGCTCTACATAATGAAACTTTTACACGTGATTTTTTAAAAAAGGTAAGCCCGTGCGTGTGCTGCGAAGACAAAAAAAATCATATTGCTCATAGCAATAATTGAGGTGAGTTTCTGCCATAAATTCAAACAATATAATTAATGCGGCCAGTGCTAATGATAAGATTGGACTTTTTTTTAAATGGTGAAGTCTGGGCTTTTTGTCAGTTTTTCTTTGAAAGTCAAAACTAAGTAAAAGCACACGTCAGAATTATTTCTTGCCGCCGCAAAGGCTTCGGAATCAGTCATTCTAGGTTCTGTTCTGTTCTCACCCCTCGACTTCGTAATCCCTTCCTCCACATTAAAGTAGAGATGTTTAGAAAGGCTTTCAAGCTTTACGTTCACTGACTGTTTATGAGTTGCCCCTGGATTTCGATCTGGAATCATGCTCTGATGTTGAGCGTAATCTTATGAAAGGCGGCATCATTTCTGATATTGCACTCCGCCTTGCTATAAACAAGGGGCTGTGGGTTAGAAGTCAAAATTCATTTGACCACGGCCTACTAAATATTTCCTTAGGAATTATTTCATCGCAACATCTATCTCGGTACCAATTTACCCCTGTTTATACTCATGGATTTTATACAATCCCATATAATAAGGAATATATAATCTATGCTCGTGCGTTAACATTTTAACCTGTAGGCCCAAAGCATCTGTACTGAATATCTGAAGCAGCAATCAATCAGAAGCTGCTTTTCGCTGGGAGTATTGAGCATAAATTGAATTGAGTCACGGGTGGTATGTTGCTGGGTCACTGTAACAAATTCCAAAGCAAAAAAAAATTAATTTGAAATCACTACTGTGGTAAGAACCGGAGAGAACTGGCCATTCACCACATGGTTAGATTTCTTGATGACCTCGTACGGTTGTCAATTACATCTAGAAAGCGTGGAACGTCTTAAAACACCAGGGTGGGAAAGAAATATCTTCTCCATTTAATTTGTAAAGTTCATTTCAAATGTTTTGAAATTGCCAAATCGATGAATGTAAAACGAGTAGGAATTTTAAATCAATACACCGATTGTACTGTTAGAATGATAACCCATTGACAGCTTACTGGGGTTAGTTCTTTACTTTAAATTAGCATTGTAACCACTTGCTCGGTACGTTTTCTATATTAATGAGGTTCGGGTTGGTCATAATCTGCTCAACTGCAAGAAACAAAGCAAAATAGTGACCGTGGAATAGTCTAACGTTATTTCACAACTAGTGCTGGTTTCGAAGAGGAATACTACACTGGAGTTAGAACTCCCAGACGCACTGGTATTTGTCTCCACATATTTCCTTGTCTCTGAGAAATGATAGTTTGGGGATTCACGACATGATTAACAAAGGACATGAAGAACAAGTAGCATTTGCGTGCGGTGGGTCAAAACGTACACTTGCGTTAATATGGTTCAATGTAATTTCCAACTTCCACTTCATCTTTCACGCGGGTACAGGG